AGAGAGAGAGAGAGAGAGAGAGAGAGAGAGAGAGAGAGAGAGAGAGAGAGAGAGAGAGAGAGAGAGAGAGAGAGAGAGAGAGAGACCTTCTTCCTCCTCCTCCAGTCCATTGCTTCTCTTCTTCCCCCTCCAGTGCTCTGGCCGCCTCCTTCTTTGTCAGATTATGAGTTGGGGGGAGAGAGAGATTTGCGACATCGGGATTTGGTGACATTCGGATTCAGACTTGACATTGGGACAGAGACATTGTGGGGAACTATTTTGGATTGGTATCACCGACATTTTGGGTTGACAATATTGTCCATCTCCTGGCCCCCTTCGTCTCTCCTCCCTCCTCATCTATGAATCACATATGTCTGGCGCCTTTCGTCTCTGTGTTCGGCGCCAGGCTGCGTACACTGTGTGATGATGATGATGATGATGATGTTCAGTCTGTGTCACAACATTGATCGGGTCTGATTGTTGGTATTTCAGTCTTCCGCTGTGCTATCGTTGCTCCATTTTGTAGAGGTCGGGTCCTTGGTTCTGGTCTGCGTCATTTGGCATGCGACAAAGGGCGTGAGGGATGGGGGAGGTTGATGGGCAAGGGGGGATGTTGAACAAGAAGAGGGTAACGGGGGAGGGTGATGCAGGAGTGAAGCGGTTGACGAGCAATGGGGAAGAGGTCGATGGGAGAGGTGGGAGGGTAGATGGGCAATGGAGGAGGTCTGCCTTGGTGTTCAAAAAGACAAGAAGAGGAAGAAGAAGAAAGACGACGAAGAAGAAAAAGAAGAGTGATAAGCAGAGGGAATAGACTGTCTTTCATGGAGGAGGAGGAGGAGGAAGAAGAAGAAGAAGAAGAAAAAGAAGACGGGTGATAAACGGAGGACATGGATTGTCTTTCATGCACACTTTGAAAAGAAGTTCCATATACATCCATATGCATTGAACTCAGAAGAACCGCGCTCGTTGCCCAAGAAGAAGAAGAAGAAGAAGAAGAAGAAGAAGAAGAAGAAGAAGAAGAAGAAGAAGAAGAAGAAGAAGAAGAGCAAGAAAAAGAAGAAGAGGCCAGTGGGGGAGTTCGGAGGTCGATCGGTGGTGGAAGAGAGTCGCCCCGAAATTAAAAAAAAAACAAAAAAAGGGCAGGGAAGAAGGAGGAGAGGAAGAGGAAGAAGAAGAACAGGAAAGTAGGATGAAGAAGAGCACATGAGAAGAAGAAAAGACGAGGAGGAGAGGAGTAAGAAGAAGTGGAAGGGGGAGGGGGGAGGGTGATTCAAACTTCAAGAAGAAGAAAAAGGCAGAGGTGGGGATGACGGGCAAACAGCTCCACAAACTGTTCTCTCTCTCTCTCTCTCTCTCTCTCTCTCTCTCTCTCTCTCTCTCTCTCTCTCTCTCTCTCT